AAGTTTCGATAGTGAAAATAACATTAAACAGAACTATGCTCATATCTCAGCACTTAGGATTCGGGTGTGTCATAATTCACCTGTCTGCGAGAACACCAATATCAAAAGTTAACAAAAAAAAAAAAAAAAAAGAAAAAAGGAAAGCAAACAAACACATCACAAAGTCCATGCCTGAGAGCCTAGGCATGTTTACTAAGAGAGCCACTCTGGGCTGTCAAGATGGCCAGAGAGCAAAAGGTGCTTGCTGTCAAGGCTTATGACCTAACTTCAGTCACTGGAAGCCACAGGAAGAAACTTCTCACTCCAGCATGTAATCTCTCTCTCTCTCTCTCTCTCTCTCTCTCTCTCTCTCTCTCTCTCTCACACACACACACACACACACACACACACACACACACACACACACCTGGAAATAGAACCAAGGCCTTTGGAATCGCAGCTAAGTCCTATACCAGTGAACTACATCTCCAGACCAAAGATGCCCCTTTTTACCAACTTATAACTCCAAAATATTCGATTATCTAATGTTCCAGAAACACGGAAGGCACAGATCCCACCAACTGAATAGTGACAGGCCTCAGTGTCACTAAGTGAGTAGTGATACATGTCAGGAGCAAAGAGCACAAGGTGGAGCAGAGTATGGCTCAGAGACAGATCCTGGGCTAGCACACATGAGGCCGTGAGTTCAGTCCCCAGCTCCATATAAACCAATACATCAGACATGGGCTGTCACCAGACAACCCAGGAGCAACCAATAGCAGTTTAGAACATAGACGTTCACTATCATAATGCTGGGTTTAAAAGTATCTCAAAGAGACTCATTGGAAATGGGGAAAGTTCGTAATTCATCTTTTAAGAGAATTGATCAAGAGCATTTGTAAGTTAGACGGTTTAAAAGAACCTTTGCCAACCGGAGCAACTCGCTGCTTCAAGTTCCTCAGAGCCGGAGCTCTGCTGCACTGGCAGGGTTTTACAGTTTCGTCTACGTCTACCACTTCAGATCTGGAGAACTATCTGGAAGGCGGTTGGATGTGAGAGTCGCTGCTAAGGAGCACTCACTGCTGCCGCATGCAGTGACCATCAGTCCATGTTCCAAGCCCTGCAGAGACACTGGCTAGGCAGGTGGCGAGGTCAGCTATCAGGGTGAGGTCAGCAGGTTGTGTTATGAGCCAAGGGAATATCTGTTGCACCTCCTTCATGCTTAGAATGAGAGACAGAGGCAGGCAGGCAGGCAGGCAGACAGACAGACACACACACACACACACACCGGGTGGGGCAGGGGGAGCAGCGCTAGGAAGACCAGGAGGAGGATAATATGTTTGCATCTGTACAGCAAAGATTAGCAAACTGCCAGCCTTCCATTGTTTTTGTTTTCAGCACGGTTATCACAACACAAAAGCAGAAAGATAACTTCTACACCTGAAGCCTGACGACTTGAAAACAGACCTGAATATTTCCTCTTCTTTCAATAAGGCAGAAGATGCCCGGTTTCCTTATCTGTGCTTGTTTCGTTCACTGATACGGGACCGGTTTCTGTCCCTGTGGCTCGATAGGGCAGATTGGAAGAGGATGCTTCCTGGGTTACTAGAAGCTTCTCCGTACTTGGTCTTTTGCCAGAAACTGCACACATCCTCCCATGGCTAAACAGGAAAAAACAATCACACCTATAGTTAACGGCCCTTTAAACCCCTCACCTCTAGGGGCTTCTGTTTGTCTTTTTTTTTTTTTTCATAACCTTACTGACTATTCTTTCCTGATTACAAAAGGATACATGACCTTTGACACACTCCAACTAATATGAAGACATCTGAAATACAAATCACTAACTCTCACAACACTCGCTGTCCCTAAAAGGAAACTGTTAAGAGTCTGGGACACCCTCATCTGCACTTTTTCTGAAGCTTATCCAAACACACATAACGTACGGAACTTTTTTTGGCTTTTTGTTTCCAAGTGAAAATGGGCTGATATGCACTAATGTGTATTTCACCCTTTTAGTCTTAAAAACATGAAATGGACACGTTGCAAATTAAGATAGACAGATGACAGACAGACACACAGATCTCCTGCATTCTTTGGAATGGATACAAACTAAGACGGATGTCCCATGAGTCACTCAACCATCACCTGCTCTCCCCACCTCACTGGCATCCGGGATCAACTTTTGTATATATATATTTCGTGTCTTTAATTTCTATAGCAGATCTCTAGAAGTAGGATTTCCATGTCAAATGAGACATCTTAAAATGCTTAAACTTTTACATTTAAAATTAATTTTAAACCCTCATTATGCAAAGTTTTGGGTATAAACCTTTCACAGTGCTTTGCATGTTTTACTTTTTAAATCACACACATTATATCAAAAATGTCCCTGTCACTTTATGCTCCTGTTGTTATAAATAAATAAATGTTTAAGTTATGGCCATGATGGCCGGCATTAAATCACTGTGCAAATGCTTATGGCTTGGTTTATGAAAGCAGTAATTCACTGTGGAAACTCCACCTCCCGTGCTGTGTGGCGGTGGCAGTCTCCGCTCTCATATCCTGTAACTCCCTCCCACCGAGCAACTACACAGAGATCAGGACCTACATATTTTCTAATTGTTAACAGTTAACCTTAAAAAGTGGGTGGTGGGAGGAGATGTGTAACCAGCCACAGACAGCAAATTGATGGCCATCTTGGATTTCTAATAGCCACAAATTGTTTGTAACAGAACAAATCATTTTGCTGGTTTGCGCCAGCAACTGCATTCCATTAAAAATAAATAAATAGATAGATAAATTAATAAATAAACCAACCTCTAACCAATATGTTGCTAGTCTCACGCAAACCTTTCAAAAACATACTCTTTGATCATTTTTCCTTGGTTGGATCCCACTTCACATTTTTCCCCACTTCAGATTCAAGACAATAATTACAAGCTTAAAAAAATAAAATAAAAGGTAAAATGGCTTCAAAGAAAGAGTTAACCAGCGAAGCTCCTCCGAATGTAACCTCAGGCTCCTCCATACATTCTGAAGAGCCCAGCACTATCAGGGGTTGTTAAGACAGCAAGTTTGATACAGAAGTATGTGACGTGCAATTAATCTCCATTCATAGGCTGCTCTGCCTGTCAGCAAACAAAGGTTCTGCTTTAGAAGGAGATCTGAAGACTTCAATTAAAAACGGTCAGCTAACAAGAAAATAATCTGAGCTAAAGGAAGGTGGCAGGTGCAAAAATGAGTTGTTTACCAAAGTGTCAGTTCTGAACAATAAAGAACCGTACGTCAAACACGTCAAAGGAGTGGACTGCAAGCGTCGCAAGCCTCTGAAAACCAGAGGGGATTTTCTACCAAGGCTGAGCTCGACACTGACGCGTCGCTGAACAAGCTTGTAAAATGGATTTCGTCTCATAAAATGACGGACGCTGATAAAAAGAAACGCTCTGTCTTTAAATCCAAGGGTAGAGTTAAACTCATGGCCACAGTTCTGTCTCTAGAAACCAAAGACGACAATGGCAACATTCCTTTATGTGTCTGATACCGTAAATCAACGGCCTCTCTTTAGATGCCCGGGTGATTTCTTCTGTCCTCCAATCACTTTTGATTCCCACAGTTTAGATTTCACGTGGTTCACAAGCTAAGCGGATCTGGGAGGGTTGGGAGAAAGAAGCTCAGTAGCAGACCATTTGACGAGCATTCGAAAAGGTCCTATGTTCAACCCCCCCCCCCCATAGGATGGCTCAGTGGGTAGAGGGGCTTGCCACCAAGCCCAAAGGCCCGAGTTTGATCTCCAGCACCCAGAAGGTGGAAGGATCGAAACAGCTGCCGTTGGAACTCCACAAATGCAGTGTGGCACGTGCACACCCACAAACACACACTCACGAAACAAATAAAAAGCTTTTTTTAAATAGATCTTTTTGAAGCATCACCTCGAAAGAAATGCCCAAATGACAGCTCTGACAGAGAAGCAATCCAGAACAGAAACAGCGCCACAAACAGAAACCAAAACATTCGCCAAATTCTGGATTAGGGGGCATTTATACCAAGATAACAAGGTAATGGAGCTATAAAGCCAATTAAATTGAGAGAAACTGAAAAGAACGCAGCTTGCCAAAATCATGACCTGCCCAAAGCAGGCCATCTGTTAACTATGTGTCAGATATGTCGCCTGGATGCCAACAGGCGAAACTCTGAGCAGTTCCCTCTTGAGACCCTTATGCGACTGCAGATTCCAGGCCTCCGTCCTCCCAGGAAGGTCAGTCACAGGAAAACTATGAGCCAAGCACACCATCTTGTCGATCAGGGAAGGCTCTTTGGAGCGCCAGGAGTACGTATCGAGTGTCGAGTGTCGGGGAGTGTGACCTTAACTCTGAAGGACACCGTAGTTTGAAGGTGAGGTCATCACAATGGGACACTTCTAGAAAGGGAAGGAGGCTTTCCTTGGGTCAGGTGACACCCCTCGAAGTTCACAGGGCTGGTAAAGGAGGCCTTGGTTTTCCACACCTGTAAGAAGTCTCCTAACCACCAGGCTTGGCCCAAAGACCCGTAAAATTCCACAGAGCCCCATTGTATGTCTAAGGAGATCTCTACCCAGATGGGCCTGGGTCTTCTGTGAGGTGAGGAGTCAGGATTGGGGACCTTAGGGATTCCCTGGGAGACAGGTTCAAGACCATGCAAGGCGTCAGGGGATGCCATGAACCTGGCCCACAAGACCTTAGAAACCTAGAAGTGATGCCCAGTGACGTAGATGCCTAAAAGGAGCAGGAAGTGTGTGACTCGGGAGAGTGGTAGGGACCCTGAGGTAGGAGGATGGGAGACTGGCTTTGGGGACAAGGGTGGGATTGAGGACTCTGGAAGCCTGGAGCTTATATTAGGTGAATGACAGGGCTGAAGGGCTAGTGCCCTGGTGTCTCCTTTCTCGCCTTCAGCCCAGCGCTTGAAGGGACCTCCCTGAGGGGGGCTTGAAGGGACCTCCCTGAGGGGTCAGGACAGAGGTCTGGCACAGTGCCAGGAGTTACCTTCCAGGAGCCAACGGATCTCCTCAGGGAGGGCGACAGCCTGCATTTGGCGCGGCGGGAAGGCGGCCGCAGCGGAAGGCGGGACAAGGGACGCGAGGCCTGCTCCGACGGCGGCGGCAAGAAGAGGGGAGGCGAGCTGCACCCAGGGCACCTGTACTTCGGCTGTCGCCTGGGGCCCAGCAGCAGGGCGGGTCCGCCGCCGCGCGCTCAGGAAGCGGCGCGCGCAGCGGGCTGCGGGCGCGGGGACCGTGGGCGCAGGTGCACGCAAGGGCTCGCGCCCTGACTGGGGTAGCACGCAAGGTCAAAGGCGTGGCCCTTGGCGCCCCGCACCAAAGGATTGCCTAGATTCCAAAAGAAAAAAAAGCGGTCTTGGAAGAAACATCTAAGCACTGGCCTTGGGGCGGCAGGTTTAAAAGTCCTTAGTGGCTCCTGAACTGGGGTGCAGAGGCAGAGTTTAAGAAAGAACTTGGTCCCTGTTAAGAGTATAGATAGTGCCTCAATTTCTGATCCAGCTCGCTGTCCAGGGGGAAGCCGTGTTGGCTAATCAAAAATCCCGGTGATGATGCAGCTCCCCAACATCTGTCGGAATCAGAGGGCAACACAAACAGAGAGACAAAGTGCCCCTCCTCAAGTGAGGGTCTGTAAGAAGAGAGATGGGAAACAGCTCTCTCTCTCTCTCTCTCTCTCTCTCTCTCTCTCTCTCTCTCTCTCTCTCAGAGGAGAAGAAAAAGCAATCGATAAGATCGCAGGGCTGTGCCCTCTCCCTCTCAAAACACAGTCAGTGCCCAAGTCTGGATTGCAGGTAGGTACTGAAGATGTTTCTACAAGCGTGAACTTGGGCAAAAGTACACGAGACTCTCTGTGGTATTTCTAACAACTGTCTGTGAGTTCACAATTACTCCAAGATTAGTTGATTGGTTGGTTTTGTTTTGTTAAGTACATCGGGCCATGAAGAAAATAGAGTGGATGATATAAGAGACAGCATGTGCAAAGAAAAGATGGAAGTGCCAGTGGGACACTTAGAGGGGCGCGTGCCCTTTGACATGGTCTCCAAATACCAAACCAGACTTTGAAAGGATGGGAGGACTTTGCAGGTGAAAATGATCTATCTGTGGCCCTACATCTTCCTTCACTTCTACCAGAGAGAGAGAGAGAGAGAGAGAGAGAGAGAGAGAGAAGGAGGAAGAGGGAGGAGGGTTGGGAATAGAGGACATAAGAGAGAAATGTAAAATAGCTTGTGTTTCAGCCTTGGGGGTGAGGGTGATGCTGATTTCAATGCAGAAGAAGAAGCCAGAGCAGAAAGAAGAAACTGGGCCCAAGGCCAAATGCTGCCTCAAGGTTAGGGGCTTCACTTTTAAGGTGTTCGGTGGTTTTGCTTGTTTGTTTTTAATCATATCCTGACACCCGAAAAAGAAGCAAATACCTTGGTTTCAGGACCTCATGACCCATCTTAAAGTTGCCAACAAGTTGAAATGAAGGGATAGAGACTGGTCCGGTCGTCAGGGAGACTGGTCCGGTTGTCAGGGAGACTGGTCCGGTCGTCAGGGAACCTGGCTCCTTGGTGCTGCTCTTTACTTGGTGAAGCTATTGCGGCAGGATTGGCTGCCTCTTCCAGGCTTCAGATCGGGTAACAGCCGCCTCTGGGGCATCTTTCCCTACCTTGCTGTATCCCTGATAAAACCAAAACTGCTCTGGAACTATTTGGGGGTACATGCGTGTTTAGAAGTGAAGGCTATGTGTGCATCCACTGAGCTGTTCTTCAAGAGGGGAGGGTGCAGCCTTCCCTCTATGTCACATGGGCTCTTCCTCAATTTCTCTTTCAACAATGGAAAACGAGGACAACCCCTCCCTCTCTCTTTAGTAAAAGGTGGAGGATTTCTAGGATCTGAAGGGGGCCCAGAGTGCCCCCCCTCTTATTTAAGGACACTGGGCAGCACGGTCATGTAGGACAGGAGCTCCTGAGTTGTTTGACAACGGGCAGAACCCCAGGCCTAGCCTCCTGTCATAGCGCGCACCCACATAGGGAGAAGCAAAAATTCACAGGTTTGGTGATACTCATGCATTTCCCCTGCCCCCCCCCCCCCCGCCGTGGATCTCTGGGTTTTAAAGAGACAGAGCCGAGGGGGGTGTAAGTCAGGTACGTGTGGTGGTGACTGGCAGCTTCCAATACGCTGTTGTCATGTTGCATCAAGCTGCATCAAGGCTCCTCGTGACAGACAGAAGCCCGCCTCCGCACATGAGTGCTGCCCCTCCTTAATCATCTGAGGACCCCGCTTCAGCAGCCAGCCTCACTCCTAATGACATTCTGTTAAATGGACAAATTCCTTTGAAGCCTTGTCCTTCTTTGAAATCCAATTTCGCAGGAAGCCAAATCTGATTGGGGGTAGCCATGGAAACGACATAGAGGAGTCTTCCAGGAGGCGGAGAGAGGCAGAGCAAGAAAAAAAAAAGAAAAAGAAAGAAAGAAAAGGAAACCATGATAGTCAAGAGTCCTTTACTGCTCTGTCGGAAATATCAGAGAGATCTGGAGAGGTTGGCAGCAGGCGAGTCCCTGCCCGGGTCCTGTTCTGTGTGGCTGGGTACCATGTGGCTGTCATGGAAGAGAACAGCCAGCTGTCTCCACACACAGGCAGCGGTCCAGATCTCTGCCTTCCTCTTCTTCCCCTCCCCCACCCCAATTCCAACATTACCCCCCCCCACTTCTAGCCATCACCCCTTAAAGGCAAACAACAAAAGAATGACAAGGTTAAAATGCAAGGCCCTCACAGATAAGAGGTCCTGGGGAGCAGAGGCCGCGAAATTAATCTGAAATTCCTTGTAATTAGATAAGATAAGGGTATCTAGTGAGAGGCAGAACAGTCAGAAACGGAGTCCAGCCACACAGCGTGCAGGATATGCGTGCCCTGTCCGCTGTGGCTCCTCCCACGCTGTCAGCAGACAGAAGACGCAGAGAATGGAACCCATGCTGGCCTCTGGGCTACTTGGAGACTGCACGTCCTCTCGCCAGGTGGGCACTCACTAAATATGCAGCCACAGAATGTACAAGGGTTCCATCGGAAAAGCAAGCAGAAGAACAAACAAACAAAAACAAAACACAAAGGCGTGTGGCACCCAAAATGCCACGGGGTCTCAAACAACTGCAGGCAAAGCCAGAACTGGCTGGCACAGCCCCACACTGGCCTCAGTGGGTCTGGGGAGGAGACGACAGAGGGCAGGCTCTGAGGCTTCATCCTCAGCCTGCTATTGATCCCTGAACACCGGGTCACTCCAGGCGGCAGAGCTGATGTCCGCCCCCTGTGGATGGGCTGCGCCCCGTGGATGGGCCGCGCCCCGTGGATGGGCCGCGCTGCGTCTCAGCCTCTCCACCCCAACGCCATCAGCCAGGTTTATTGACTGTCTTATCGACAGCGCTCAGGCCTGATGAGAACAAGAGCTGCACACTTCATTAAGGGGTGTGGAAGGACAGATGTACAGACAGTGCCCAAAACTGGGCTCGCTTTGTGCTTTCTAAGGCCCCAGAAACCAACACACATCATGGCTCCTTGAAGGTGGAGGAAACACGGTAATGCGGGCACATCGCTTCCATCTCCTCTGTGGCCTCAGAGTGCAGGGCTTCTCCAGGAGCCTTACAATTTCTAATCAGCTAACCCTTCGACTTAGGAGGGCACTAGGATATACACACTCACACACACGCACTTTCAATTATCCCCCTTTCCAGCTCACACTCCTAAATCTTCTACTATTGGAAACAGCAAGGAAGGCAGGTTATCACAACTCATCAGAACACGTTGCCATGGCAGCTTCTCACTGAGGGCCAGCCTGGGAATATATGAGGGACAATTAAAATTCAAGAAAGCTGAACATGGTGGTACACACTGTAATCCCAACCTTCAGAGGATTGCCAAAAGTTCAAGGCCAGCCTACGTTGCCCAGTTAGTACAAGGCCAGCCAGGTATACACCGTGAGATGCTAGACCTAAAGGAAGAAGTGGCAGGGAGGTAGCTTCGCGAATCCAGGACTTGCAGCACAAGTGGAGGACTTGAGTTTGCTCCTCAGCACCCACACAGGAAGCTGGGCATAGTGGCATGCTCTTGTGATCCCAGAGCTAGGGCAGTGGGACACAGGCAGATCCTGAGACTTGACGGACATCAAGCCTAGCCTATCAGTGAACTCCAGGCTCTAGTGAGAGATTCTGCCTCAAAAACCAAAGTGGAGTACTACTAAAGAGGAAGGACACCCAAGGATGACCTCTGGCCTCTGCATGTGTGTATATACAAGTGCGTGTGAGTGCGTATACACACACATACATACACACACTCATTCTCTCTCACACACACACACAGCTAAAAAGAATCTTTATGGGGATCAAGGTCAGGATGAGGCTCAGACTCCATGCTCTGCCTGGGGGGGGGGGCATCCAGAAGCGGTGCTGACATTAGAATCCTGGTACTGGAGTAAAGTTCTGACGGATCAGAACGATACCTAAGATAGGTAGTTACAACCTGGGGGTGGTTCTGGGAAGCAGTTACTATTGGTCCATTTAAACAGTAACAAAATTCCTTGTCTGAAGTCTTTATTATGGCCGTTCCCTCACATTCCCCCTTTGCCTTAGACTCTACTTCACCTGTCCCCGAGACCACGTTAGACACCCCACAACATGGGCCCAGATGAGCCCAGCAGAGGACCAGGAGGCCAAAGAGGTTGCTGACTCTGACTTTCTGCCTTTGGTTGGTTCTCTTGGGAATCTGGAGAGGACTTTGGAGGGACTCTCCAGATGGGGCTGGGCTCTCTGAGTTAGACATGTAGGCAGGCTTAATCTACACGACAAGAGCCCAGCCAGTTTTTGCGGGCTGGGTTTTAGCAGGCATGACAACTTTGGAAAACAAGATAAAGATGTAATCGGTTCTTGGTGGGGGCTGGTAATAATGGAGGCGCTTGAGAGGGATGACAGAGGGGGTACAGCAGAGAGGGGGTACAGCAGAGAGGGGTACAGCAGAAAGGGGGTACAGCAGAGAGGGGGTACATCAGAGAGGGGGTATCACAGAGAGGGGGTACAGCAGAGAGGGGGTACCGTAGAAAGGGGGTACCGCAGAAAGGGGGTGCCACAGAAAGGGGGTACAGCAGAGAGGGGTACAGCAGAGAGGGGGTACAGCAGGCTTTCTTTGGTTTCCCTTCATCCATCGTTTTAAAAGATTTTAAAAAACCATTTCCTAAAGTCCTCCCCTTCTTCTACCCTTTCTTCTTCCTCGGTTTACCACAGGTCTTAGAAGTCAGGATCGGGCCGGTGAAATCC